GCCTGACCAAAGTTGCATAGAGGGGGAGTATCACCTCTCTGGACCAGCTTAAGATGCATCTTTGGATGCATGACAAAGTATGGCTGGCCTCACTGCCTGCAGTCTGGCATTGGTGGCTCTTGTTCATCTTGGGGTCATTACTGACTCCAAGATCCCGTTCCACCTCTGTGCTTTCAAGAGGGGAACTCCCCAGCCTGTATGTATGCTGTGGATTCCTTCTCCCAAGGTGCAGCACCCTGCATTTGTCTAGGTTAAACCCCATCCTAGTCTCATCTGCCCACTTTTGTAGTCTGTCTAAATCTATTTGCAGCCTCTCTCTCCCTTCAAGTGTGTCCACCTCGCCCCACATCTTAATGTCATCAGCAAACTTGGACAGTGTGCTTTCCACCCCCTCGTCCAAGTCACTGATGAAAATGTTACATAGTGCTCGCATCTCACCAGGTTGAGTACAACCTGTCCACCACTACTTTCTGAGTGTGCCCCGCCAGCCAATTTTTTACCGTTCCAACTGTGTAGGCATCAATGCCACAGTCACTTAATTTATTGAGGATGAGGTGAGAGACAGTGTCAAAGGCCGCCTTAAAGTCCAGAAAGACTGTCCACGGTGACACCATCATCTAAGGATTTAGTCACTTGGTCATAAAAGGCAACCAGGTTGGTCAGGCAGGACCTGCCTTTGATGAACCCATGCTGATTGCCCCTGAGCATGATCTCCCCTGCGGGCCCCCCATAGATGTGCTCCTTGAAGATCTTGGAAAGAATCATCCCAAGCACTGAGGTGAGGCTTACAGGCCTATAGTTACCTGGGTCCTCCCTCCTCCCTTTCTTGAAAATTGGGACCACATCCTAATGTGGTCTGTTCCCCCAAAACTGGGACTGGGGGGGTGGGAGGAGGCTCCTCTGCTATGAGGCGTTGTTATTTGTGTCACTTGTCTTGTGTTATGGTACATACTTTAGTTCCCAGGCTTTGTGTCCTCGTTGTGTTGGATAACCTGTCTGCCTTGAAGGATGTGATCTTGTGTTCTGGCATGCCCCCTGCAATTCTCAGATTTGTCTGTCCATCCATCCCTTGGCCTTGTCATGTTAGAAGGCCTGTCTGCTTCCAGGGCTATGTGGAACTGTGTGTATGAAACCCAGGGTCTTACAAATCAATTAACCCCTGCTGGCCATCTTGCAGATCCATAGACATTAGGGGCTGGAAGGGATCTCACAAGATCATAGGGTCCAGCCCCCCCTGCCATAGGCAGGGAGTCTGCTGGGGTCAAACAACCCCTGAAACATATGCATCCAAATGCTATTTGAATGAGTCTGGGGTCGGTGTTTGCACCACCTCTGTGGGGAGTCTGTTCTAGACCCTGGACACTCAGACCATAAAGAAGCTTTTCCTTGTGTCCAGTCTAAATTGGCCTCCCAGAAGTTTGTGGCTGTTAGACCTTGTTATCCCTTGAGGAGCCCTGGTGAACAAGTGTTCTCCCAGATCCTGGTGCACCACACCCCCTTATGTAGGCTGCCATCAAGTCCCCCACGGGCCTTCTCTTTTCCATGCTGAAAAGTCTTGAACCCTTGTAATTCATTTATCTATACCTATAAGTCGATTTCCCCAAAAAGTTTCAAGCCAACACCACTGATAGGCCTTCTGCGTACCACTGCTGGTGTGCATACCACAGACTGGGAACTGCTGTTCTGCTGACTCATGGGGCACATCTAGTCTACTCTGCAGTAAACATCTCATAATTTAGCTCTGCAGTAAACTTTGTGCATCTACACATGTGCCCCTATTAGGCTGGAGAAAACTAATTTACTCTGCAGCAGGATAGTACTTGTATTTACAAGTACTATTATGCTGTAAAGGTCATGTGTGTGTCCACAGTAGTACACATGTAAATGCTTCCTTGGCTTCAGCGTGGGGGCTGCCTGCTGGCTAGCTCTGCACTGGACCACCCTCTTGCCCCAGCCAGCCTCTCCACAGCATGTTGATTTGGGGGACAGCCTGCCAGCTTGGGGTTGCTGACCCCAAGGGCCTCCCACCAGCCAGGGCTACTCTGACCTGGATCAATGTACAGTGGTCCCAAGTGGATGTACAATAGCACACCAGGGAGCAATACACTCCAGAGGTTATTGCTTTGTATTAATTGCATGTGTAGACACGCCTATGTAATAGTCATTTATACATGGATGGTGAGCAGAAAATGTCATTCACTACTACACGGGAAGAGAGAGATTCAAAAAGGTACTGAGAAGGTTAAATAGCTCTCTGAATCTGGTATGAAGGGCAGAACTGGCTTTGGTTTCCATATCCACCTAAGAGAATGTTGGTAAACTGTAGCTAGTTTTGGGGTCTCTTTCTATTTTTTTCTTTACTTTCTTTGCATCATGTGTTCTGGGGAAGTAATAACAGAGTAGGCACATGGATGTACAGCCTCTTGGTGATCCAGTGATATTTTACTACTGTAACATTGTGGGAACTGCCCTACTGTGTTCATCACTATGCATCCTGGAATTCTCTAAGCAAAAAATGCTGTTGCCCTGTGGGGTCAGGCCAACACTCGGGATCTCAAAATATTGAGCTGTTAGACAGGAGGGTGTAATGTACAATTGCACATGCACACATCACCAATTTGACCACATACACACCCTAATGATATGAAATCATACACAATACATGCACACAGGTTGAACACTGACTTGGGTTATAGTATGTGTGTATGTGTGTGTGTGTGTGTGTTGGTGCCTGTGGTACCTATGCTTGGGGTGCTGGGTAACTAAAGAGCAAGTGGCAGAGATCAGGGAAAAGGCAGTGAAGATGGGGGAAAAGCAAAGAAACATTGGTTTGCAGTCAGGAGCTCAGGACAGCTGGAGGCACAGGAGCATGGGACGGGTGTTGGAGGTGGTGGTGAGCCAGAAGCAGTGGAGGGAGAAATGAGACCAGGAGTTAGAGGGGCGAGGAGCAGAGATTAGAGCAAGGCCAGAACTGTAGTAAAGCAAAACCCAACTCAGGGGTCCAAATAACAGTTTTATTAAATGAACACTGTACTGTACAGCTTGGTTCCCACACACACTTGCACAATGTTAGCAGAAGAAAGAGATTCAGTGGAAGGGTTGGGGTCTAGGTAGGGAAGAAAAACAGAGTCCAAGTCCTTGGTTGAAGAGAGTATGGGGGTGATATCTACCTTTCCAGGCTGGAAGGGGGTCCTCTATGGCCAGTCAGGGGTCTTTCTCCAGCAGGTGTTGTCCAGAGGAGGGTCACCGGCAGGGCCTCTGGGTTGATAGGGAGTGTAATGTGGAGCAGGTCTGGTCCAGGTGAAGATGGCATCCCAAGGAGTCAGTCTTCACTACCCCTTTATATGGGGCAGACTACCTATGATCTCCTATGGGGAGGGCCTGTCCAGGCAAGGTCAGCCCTGTTCCAGATGTTAATTCTGAGCATGTGCAGACTTGGCACAATGGTGGGTTGCCTCATCTTCTGTTTATTGAATGGTAACTGTGGTTCCAATGGCTGGGTCATTGGTCCAGGGATTGGTGTTGATGGTGGGGTGATTTTTAGTAGGGAGTCCTGCTATCAGTGTGTTTCACTCATCCATTTACTCTTTTGTTTCAGGCATTCAAGGAAAACCAATTTACATGGGAGAGGTTATGGAGTTGCAACATATTTAGACAACAGGGTATGGGGACAAGATGGGAATGGATACTTGACATCACTTTACAGACACAGGCCTAAGACATGCAATATTAATATGAAACAATAAAAATCAGTGCTTATTACAATAATAAGTATACAAGTACTACTTGTAATCACTTATAAGGGATAGAGAGGGCAGAGAGAGTCAGGAAGGGGAGGGGAATGCATTTTACAAATAAAAAATAAACAAACTGGGTGTCTTGCTACAATGCTAATGCTATTCTTTCAATTTCTGGGTGAAACACTCCCTTCTGTTTCTTCTGTGAATGGATAGGAGCCTGTGCTCACAGATTTCTTCATGGCTGTGGTAATGTAGAGGTGAGGAGTTCTGTGTACTAGGCTATGTTTTTCCCCTAACCTTGCAGAAGCATCTCCACAGTGTTACTGGCTGGGAGGATTGCTGGGTCTCCTGCATATTTTGAGGTTGAGAGGAATCCAGAGGACAAAACCTTGCAGAACTTGGGAGGTTGAACTTGCTATAACTTATGTGAGCCATTCTTACAAGCCACATAAGGGACTCCCCTCTTCTCTGCTCAGCACTACATACAAGACTAACTGACTCTTGTCTCCACCTTCTAATGCATATGTGAATGGAAGTCCCTGGTTAGAATCCCACTTGATTCTAACCAGGTAGAACAGAAAGAAAGCTGCTTCCACTGGGGATGAGCACTAAAATGCAACCCTGCCCTGAAGATAAAACATACAAGAACTTTGAGTAGAACCTGTAGAGCTCTCACTTAAAGCAGAATACCTCATGGAAAACACAAGGCCTTATATCAAGAATTGGGAGGGCAGGTATTGGAAACAATTCTGAACCAGTGACCTTTTCAAGGAAAAAAAACTGGAATGGCTGGGGGGCAGAGGCTAGCCAGAGTATTATCCAGGGAGTTGCAACTTGGAGGTAAGGTGTTTTTAAAGTATTTGGAAGAAGAATGCGAAGTCATTCTCTGATGGGAGTAATTTTGCTAACTAGATTTCATGCAATGATGTTTAAGCTTACCAGAATCACTTCTGTTCAAATAGCACATTGCAGGTGACTGCACAGGTGGCAGGTTTTTGCTATTATGGAAATAATAATCTGAAGTTAAATGTCACTAAATCAAGCTCCTAATTGGTAGGAAGGCATGAAATTGTTTGAAAATCTTTGAAGCATATTTTATTAACTCAGCTGTTAAAAAGAAACATGTTTACAAACTGGACACTGAAAAGTAGCTTTGCTATTAGTTGTAAGAGAGCACTGGCCTTCATAGGCTATAAAAGCATTTCTACTTTAACTCTTCAATAAAACACGATATTCATAAATGCTTTTACATGTCTGAGAGCCTATACTGCCTAGCTCTTACAGTGTGAAAAAGAAGAATGGAGTATAATTGTAGCAGAAATTAATGTTCTTGCCTACTTTACTCACTCCTTTAAAAGAATAAAATAAAAATTCACCTTTCCTCATAATAAATTGATTCTGAAAACTGCTACACCACTGAAACCCAATGTGGACATAAGGGTCCACTCCAAGACAGCTGTTTGGAGGGCTAAGATTTATACTAATAATTTAGGTGCTGAAAGTGAGACTTAAGCCTCTGAGGTTAAACATGAGAGCATGAAAGCAACTGCTGGGCTGCAGCCTAACCTTAGAGATGTCCACACTCTGTTCATACCTGTTTTACTAAGTGCCTGAAAGGTTTCCTTCTGCATGTCTATAGAAGGAACTCTGTTCTTACAGGCAGTGCCATAGCAATGAAGTCAGCTGCCCCCCTCCTCCCCACATGCTTGCCTGAGTGCATGCAGTGGTGGGAACCAGAAGTGATTGCAGCAATCATCTGGCACTTGCAGAGGGGGCACCAGTGCTCCTGCCCATCGCCCAAGCAGTGAGTGTGGCTGGTCAGGGGCTGTACGTTCACCCCCTATGTGTCACCGCTGTCTATTAAGATCTAGAACATTACAAACTGTAATTTAACATCTCTTAACCTGAAGACAGTAAGGATATTTACTTGGTGGTGGGGAGAGGCCAAAAGGACCAGGTGGCCTATAACAGGCCCAGCCTAAAAGGCTTTCAGACATGCCTCTCTGTGGCAGGCTGACCCTATATCCTTTGCAAACCCTAAGGTTTTCTTCCTTTCACTTTCCTACCATGCCTTGATGGAATCAGAATGTCATGGGAGGTTCCTTTATAAATCCCTTGGGTTGAGACAGAGTCCAGTAACACCTGATTTTCTAAAACAGCTCTGAGATTCGCTTGTTTAGCCAAGCTTGCCACGCTTCCCTTCTCTCTCACTAGCTTCTGGCCATTCCATGCTTCAGTGGCCTATACAGCAGCCCACATGCCTTAATTGTAGCCTTCAGCCTTTCCCAAAACCATGGCCATGCTTTAAGTGCGTCACTCAGTCACAATTCTGTGGGGTCTCCCAACCAGTAACCTCAGCCCTCCAATCCTTAGCCCCTTGTCCACACTTCAGTTTATCTGGCTTTGGGCCCATTGCCCTTAGCTGAGGCTCTCAGCCCTGGCCCACTGTCTTGGACCTCAGCTCCTCCATGTTGGCACACTGAAATCCCCTAGTTCTTGCAGGGGTCTGACTGTGCAGTGGCAAAGCACTCTACTGCATGGGCTTTAACCTTCTTGGCCTTAGCCTTTTGCATCCTTAACCAGTGCCAGACTCAAAAACACAGAGCACTCTAGGCACCCTGCTGCACGGCCTCCTATTCCCCCTGCTACAGCTTTAACCCAAATGTCGAGTCGTCAGTGGAAATGCTAGCAAACCACTGTCCACTAAAATGCTTAAACCCTCACTGTGGGTTTAGTAATGAATAGAGACACAGGCACTGCTGAGTAAAAAGCTTATAACCTCAGCCTGACTCTTTATGTTACTGCAAAGGCTTTGTCCTAGCCTGTATACCCCCTCCCAGCCTTTAAGGTAGCTTTCTCAGCCTGCAGCTTCTCGGAGCCTATCTTCCTACTGTCAGGTAGCTAACTCTCAGGTAGTGACTATCAGCCCAGTAGTCACCCTTAAAATAACAGGAACCTTTGCTCCCTATTACATGGCCAAGCAGCTATATGGCTGGGAAGATGGACTCTGAGAGTAGCTGATTTCTCATGGCACTGCTTTTCTCTGTGAAGTCAATCTTTTAACTCTAATCAGTGAAACTCCTTGTGCAAGTCACATTTAATAAATCAAAATCTAGAATTACCTCTTGCATTGACAAATCTGAAATGAGTGTCATTGCAACAAGGAAAAAAGGTATCTGGGAGTGTGACTCAATGGATTATGAGCCTTTGAATTAATGGTCTTATTAAATCAGAACTCATGAATATTGGATACAAGTCACTTTCAGTCGTTATATAACAGTTAAGATAATGTAGGAAAGGGTGCCATTTATGTTTATAATATCCTTGCAGTTTTAACGGCACAAACCAGTTTTGCCCTGAACAATGATGGTAACTTTTAATGGAATAGGACTTTTGACTTACTGAGAATCAAATTCTTTTGAAAATGAGCCTAAACCAAGACTGAGAAAAGTTAAAGGGCAAAAGTGAGCCCTTGATTCCTGTTTAATCTAACCTTGGACATTAAATTTTACATGGACATTATGGTTAATTGCCACATTTGAATCTGGGCTCAATTCAAATTGACCATTGGTGATTTGTATTTGTTAGTGTTTTAATGCATCCTAACAGCGCTGATGGACTGTAAGTGCAGCTATTTATACAGTATATTGTAAAATATTCACAAAGTGCCATTTATTTATTACCTTTCCCTTCCCTACATCCTGTGTTGTCATATCTGTCAGAAACTATTTCCTACCAGGTGGTGCACCTTAATTTTTTTATAACAAATTATAATGCTATCCAACTCTGCCCTCATTGGTTAAAGTGCTGCCAAGTGGTAATACTATACCCCAAACACTGAGACTTTAATACAGTGTTGCACTAAACTCTGAGTCCATAAATTTTTCTACTTAATGGATTAACCAGGCAAGAGAAGGATACAAGGTTTGATAGCTTGTCCTAGAGGGGTACCAAATGGGTAGATAGTAATTTATGCTGAATGGACACCAGAGACATCATGAACACGCACATCCATAGTGTACAGTATGTCTCATTCTAGGAAATCATAAAGGGAGATGGTTTATGAGCAGAACATATACACAGGTAAGCAACAGGGGCCAGGGCAATGCTGAAAGTAGGGGGCTAATGCACACATCCTCAGGAGGCCTCAAATGCCTCTACACAAACGCTTGTAGTATGGGAAACAAGTAAGAAGAACTTACCCTCCTGCTAGCTGACATCAACCCAGACATAGTGGGGCTCACTGAAACGTGGTGGGACCCAACGCATGACTGGGTGGTGAATATCAAGGGCTATAGGCTGTACAGGAGGGACAGGACAGGGAGGAAAGGTGGGGGTGGCGCTCTACATTAAGGAGGAATACACATCCTCATCAATTAGCAGAGTCAGAGGAGGAGCACTCTGAAGTGCTCTGAGTTAGAATACAAGGCAGTTGAGGGGAAAGAGAC